TGATAAATTTATTAAAAAGGAATGATTTGCTGGTCAATGAAATATTGCTCTGGGAGAATCTAGTCAAATGGGGAATCTACCAATCATGTGCCATAATACAGCAGCAACGTGATGATCATGATGAGCAATTCGTAATTTGTAATAGGGATGGTTCGAGTTCGTCTCCACGTCAGTTGATTAACAACGCCTTATGCAAGTATTCTTCGTCACCTACTAATTCATTTAAAGAACTCTCACATTGGACGCCCAAAGAATTTCAAATACTTGGTGTCACTCTGGAAAAATGTATTCCACTCATACGTTACTTGCAAATCTCCAGTGGTGATTTTTATAAGAAAGTAAAACCTTTTTCGTCAATATTACCCATAGAACTGTATGAAGATATACTTCAATATCATCTTGTACCCGGACACCAACCTAGTCATGACTTGATTCAGCCTAAACGTGAAGCCATCGACTCGGTAATAATTGAGCGAAAGCATGCCGCTTTAATCGCCAGTTGGGTAGATAAGCGCGATTTATTTGATGATCCCGATGGTGTAGGCAGGACTGACAGTATCGGTGGAAATGATGGTTATACCAGCTTCAAGTCTATTGACAATGACAATGAATTTGCGACTGACGGTGAAGAATTATCGCCGAAATATTACGAACCATGGGATAATCCATATGAATTCAAATTGTTATTGAGGGGCAGTAGGGATGGGTTCTCTGGTACAGAATTTCACACGAAATGTGATTCAAAGGCCGCCACAGTTACTGTGTTAAGAGTACGTGGTACAGGAGAAATTATCGGTGGTTTCACGCCTATTCACTGGTTGTCTCAGAATACATGGGGATATACTAAAGATAGCTTCATCTTTTGTTTGGCTTCAAGCTCCAACAGCACTGGTATTAGAAAACGAACCAATATGTTGTCAGCATCCACTGTCAACATTGTTAGTAGGGTACGGGATCCCACTCGTGCAACCAACTTTTATAAAAATTATGGTCCCTCATTTGGTAGGGATGATTTGAAAATGGCGGGAAATTTCAAGCTTGATTCCAGATGCTGTTGTAAACAAGGCGATTATAAACTTAGTGTCAGAGAGGATACCGGCTATTTCTCGGTTGATGAATACGAGGTTTTCCAAGTTGTGCCCAGGAAATCAGGTCCAAGTGTTACGGATCGGAGTAACACAGAATCCATGAGTGGAGGAGCAAAAATGAGTAATGTTGATAAGTATGAAGATTTTGGGTTGAGCGAAAATATGGTTAGATCTTTGACATACTAATCATTCTTGGAAGCATTTGAAAAAATGGAAAATTATCAAAAATTTTAATCTTAATAGTAATCTTAATTATAATTTTTTCATTTCGTGAGATTGTTTCACGATCATTATGTTCGCTGAATAGGGAACGAGTAAATCGGATAGACAGAATCTTTATGTCTGGCACAAACCATTCAAAAATCCCACCTAGAGTATCATTCATATATAATACATAGACATTGTCTCGCTAATATTATTAGATGGTTAAAAAAATTTTTTTCTAATCAATAGAGTTTTTTTTTGAAAAAGTAAAATATGGTACGGTACAATTTTCTTTATAATAATTAGGAATTTATAATTGCATTGTCCATTATACTATGAATTTAATAAAGACCATTTCAAAATTCTAATAATTTTCAAAATAAAAATTTAATATATTGCAATCGATCAATAAAAATATTTTAAAAAGCTAATTATATGTAAAATTGAATTACGTATATTATTTTTATTATATTCTTATTATATTTTTTAGCGCAATAATAATAATTTAAATTATTTAATCATTAATTAAAAGATGTTAGTTTAATTTAATAGTAATTTTTAAAAAATATGTTGTAAAATAAAATAATCATGAAATTTTTAATTTTTTTTATTATTATAAATTTAATAAATATTTGATTTAAAACTTACCTGGAAAGAACTTTACATCTATAAGGGCTTTATTATGAAAGGCTCTGTATCAAAATAGTTTAATAGCACAACAAACATAACTCTAATGACTTTGAACAATATACTATTACTTCCTAACTTTAAACCAAGATTTTAAACTTATATAAAAACAACAACGTAAATTTTATCAAAGTTTTAAACACATTATTATTATAAAATCAATACTAATAAATGAATATTACGTATATCTTAAATTCATATAATAAACAAATTATTATTTGTTCTTGTTTTATTCAATCATATTCAAAACAAATATCTTAGCTAATTAAAGTTTATATTGTCATATATTGTTTCTATCTCAGGAGAAAGATAAAGACAGAGAACTAGTAGCAGAAAGGCATTTTAGTTGGACAGGGCCAATGTGATATGCTAAAGTTCCTAGAGGCATACAAATTAGTACAGTTCTGAGGTGTATGAGGTCAAGCGAAAGAGGCAATGGTGATTTGTTTTTCAAAGGTCAAATTATTTATTTAATAAAATATATGTTCAAGCCTGCCAATTCC